TTGAGCTTGACGAAGGTCATTGAGATTGCTCCAAATATATAGGCAGTATGCTTTGGATGACCATCTGCTCAGAACTATGGTTTCATCCGAGACACCTAAGCTAGATGCAGTTGTGGCTGCTCTGATCCAAAAGGAGTGTATAGAATAGTGTTTTGAAGATATGCTGGACATGTAGAGGACTTCTTGGATGAGATTGTTGAACCAGGTTCTGGCTGAAATTGATGACTTTATTTTTAAGGGCACATTGTAGGCGGGCCATAGTCCATTGCTAGATTTCGCTCTCGGTCCCGGGAGACCTGCTGTGGTAGCATTGACGAGGGCTGCTGGTGGAAGAGTGAGGTCTATGTTGACTGCATGAAAGTGTACACGTATGTGGAGGAGATCGGACTTGTGATTGAGTTGGTGTTGGAGAAATGTCGAACAATGAGTTTGACCGAGGAAGTTTGAGGGGGTGAGGTATATGAATGGCGGAACGCAGTATACATGAAGTTTGAGTCAGAGGGGTGTATCTGAAGCTCGGGATCCATCATGAGTGAGTCCAGAGAGAGTCTGAGTCAAATGGCTTAGGGAAGGTCCACTTCCCCCAAATAGCAAACGTGGGAAGCTGATTGGTTTAAGCATAGCCCCGCTACTGAACACCATATATCTATTTTCACTGTACAGGTTCCTCTATGCAAGTTGTCCTGCCCCATGTTTATCTCCAATGAGTGGAACTGTATGAAAAGTAAGATTACTAACACAGGTCTGAAAGTGTGAAAGCATTTTAAAAAATCCATAAATTAAATTACAATACATTAAATCAAGAGCCCTAGCATGGAAAAATAAACAGCATAACAGGGAAGACCACTTGAAAATGTAAAGTACACACTTCTCAGATGTTTCCATAGCTATGAAATATTGTTTTCATGCTTATGTTGGAAGAAAGATTAAGATTAAGGCACCTACATTTATTATGGTTTCCAGGATCTATTTGGAGAGAGCATGTCTGGAGAGAGCAAAATACGTCCCAGGAGCTGCGTTTTTTTACAGTTTGTTTTCGCGAATACATCAGAGGCCACTGTTGACTAAATCGCTGACTGACTGACCCATTCCCCTCATTCTCTAAACCCAATCAATAGTATTTTAAAAAGTACCAATTGTGATCTCCAGAAACGTATATAGGGCTACGTTTTCAAAACGAGCCTATGTTGATGAAAACACATTGTGACATTTAAACAAATATGCATCTATGTATCACGTTAACTGTATATCAATAATATAACATTGCCTACTTGGGATTGCAAGTTTCTATACTCAATTCAAAGATGGAACAAAAAATTAAATGACAGAAATAGAAGAAACTGCTCTCAAAAACACCAAAAGAAATGAATGAAAATGTTTTATTGTATACTTTTTTATATATATGCAATTACAATGCTTATTTTGAAAAGTCTGTTTGATCATGATGCTGTGATGGTGAAGTGCTTTTCAATCACTGCATGAAACTTTTATTTAAGGCAATTAAAATGTGATTCAGTTCCGGAAAACCACTCGCGGCCAGTAATCAAATGTTCATATCACACAATATTGAGTGCACTATAGGTTGTGTGTCGATGCATTTGTGTGTGAAGTCAAGCAAGAAGAAAAAACTCTTAGAAAATGAGTCCTTGAGTCAAGGCCTCCAATAATCATCCTGCTTTTCAAACCCTGTAAACCTCCTTTGAGAGTAGTGAATGTGTGCCTTGAAAAAATATAAAAGTGAACACTACATAACACGTATAAATATTAGTCATACAAGGATTTGGCTGCAGAGACTTAGTGGCATTTAGAGCAGTCATGTCACACTATTACTGTTTTTCTTAATTACAGAAACAGGATCATTGGTTTACAGCTTTGAGAGTGTAACAGAGATTGCCATGTGACACACAGGAGGGATTTGACTAAGCAACTGAAGGAAGCAGCTGGTGTGTTCATTTGGATCTAAAGGAATCAGATCAGGTAATGGTTAATTTTATGGCTGATTATAATGCTCTTCTCCAATTAATCATCATTTGTGAGTGTACTGCTACCTCAATAAATACAAAATGTAGAAAATATAAAATCGTGTTTACAGCCTGCTTTCCGAGAGCAATACAGCACTCGTTTGTTCAATACACATAATATAAGAAGCCATATTTTGCATAGAAAGATAGTTTGCACTAATTGAGAAATGCTTTTTTTAGCCTGCTTAAAATGAATAGGTTGTTTTCAAATGATGTCATTGATGAAATGCGAAATTCAGATGGAGGGCAGAAAGTAGAGGTGGGAACCTAGACGGGACTCACGGTTCGGTTACAATTATCATGCCATCCATTCTGTTTAATTCTATATCTCGGTGCATCATGGTGCATATACAATGCTTTCCATACACAATTTGATATTTTACCTCTCAGCGCAAGAATTCTTGTATTAAAATTTGTAATTATATTTATATATTATTTGTAATACAATTTTGTCCTTTAATACAAACAGCCAGATATATGAACTGTACCTTTAAAAACTCAAGGACATGCACAGAACAACATAAGCATTTATAGCAAATAAACAAATATAAATATCTGTGCCTTGTCAAGTGAGTTCTTATACCCCTATAATTGGTCACACACTCAACAGAAAGGGCTGCGATTGGCTCTAACACTCTGGCACTGTTCACGATGAGTGACGCTAATAAACGGCAGCGGCGATCACAGCCGATCAATGAAAGATGCAGTGGAGAAAACTCGCTCTGCAGTCACACTCGTGTCTGTATCCAGAAGTATCGCTGTGCCGACAGGGGAGGAAAAGTTGCCTCACGCCAACTGGTCACTGATCCAGAGTGAGAGAGAGAGCGAGAGAGAGAGAAATGGAGTTTACTTTCAGTTTCTCCATATCCTTAAATAGAGGATTCTGCTGTAACTTTAGTGTTCAGCAAACACATGCAGTGAATTGTGCAGAGTTTCTGCATTTTCAAGTAGTTAGAGCATTTTAATTACTCACGCTCGCCTCTCTCGACATTGTAAGCTACCACAATATAGCGCATATGAGATTAATGATGTCAGTACGTAATAATTGGTTAGAATCTATTACTGAACCGATACCAAATTGCATCGCAGTGCACCGAAGAAACAATTAATTTTGACACCCCCTAGCAGGCAGTGGTTGTTCTACATAGGAATTGCTATCAGAACATCAAAATGTTTTTTCAATTTATGTTTTTTAAAATTGTTTAAATTAGCCAAAATAAGAAACGAACAGCTTTTGTAGAACTTCAAAAGTTTTTGTTACAAAAGGGGGAAAGTTCAAGAAATTAAAGAAAATTCGTTAGACAGCAACAATAAAAATTATATATAGGCCTAGCTATGTGTTTAAATATGTTAATGTGTTAAATAAAAATCAGATTTATACACCACCACAAAATCCAGGAGAATATAAATAACGTACCCTGCCATGTAATTACATGAAAGCTCCGTCTTGTTTTGCAATAATCAATTTCTTTAGTGGCATTTTGGCAGAATAAACAACCGTAATCTGAACATCAACATAAGGAGCACTAGTGAATGCTTGTTGATGGTAAGTTTATCGACTGAACAAAACAAAAATATTTAACCCTTGTGACAAAACTAGATAGTTATTATATATTCCCCCCCTTACCAAAATAAAAAAAATAATAATATTATAGACTATGCGTCAATTCTTTTGTATGCTTTCAACTGTTACTTCACGATGTCTGGAAGATATCCGCATGGGGAAAAACTATAGTAATTTAATAATAAACATGTTTTTGAACCACATAAAGTGTATAATGTGTTCAGCTATTTGTTAATGAATGCTACAGAATACTGTAACATTGTGAACTGATAAACTGTAATAACGTTAGTGTAAACTCTTCTGCATTGTGATGGTGTATAATTATAGCGTATAGAACTGAAGCCTATTGAATAATTAGTTTATTAATACAGTACAGTTATGCTAAACAACAGCAACAATATTACTACTTTATTTCAAGTAATTGACCCTACGCTAAGCCACACCCAAAAATCGCCACCCACCAATCGTGGCTTAGCAACTGCAGCTATGCGCAGGGGCTCTGTCAAGCTTTTGAGCAAGTGTATATGTATTGTGTAAATCTGATACCCGGTATCCTTAAAGTTTGGACAGGATGGTGTAATTTTTTCCCCTTTTCAATACCTAAAACCCAAGGGGAGAAATGCCAGCGTGGATCAAACTGTGTGAGAGGTGGTAAATTGGTTTTGATATTCCTGACACATTCAGTCTTAGATCGACGGCAATAACTTACCCTAAACAGATCTAAACTGTGCTTCCTACAAAAATACAAAGCAGGTAATGTTTCACATCTGTCTTTTTCCTTTTTTTCGCTCGATACTATGAGCAATGCTCTGTTTAAGCCTTCGCCATAGTAACTTAGTCATACTAATAGCGAATAGGTCAAGATGACATGAGTTATTGATCCGGAAAATACGAATCTGCGAATCTGTTGCTAGCTTTACTGAATTTCATATTTCCATTTATTTCAAGCTAAGAATATTTGAAATTACAAATCAACAAGATTTGATCACAAACTGAGCAAACTGAGCCATGAATATACTATACCCGTAGCTGTTTTTCAGTCATTTATAAAGAGCACGCAAACATACTGATTTATAGGCAACTTACTGTACATTGTTATGGGTCAATGATGCTAATATTTGGCACATCCATCAGTTTCCCCTTTCTGGCTGTGTAAAAGCACTGCCATGCGTGTTTCCTTTTCAGTTAGTAAAGCTATATTTCATTGCACAACAATTAATCTATCAGACTTTTTGGCTATAAATTGAGAAATCATGGTTTCATGTGTTATTATTAGATTATTTTTGTTGTCACCTCTCCTGCTGAGCATGAGCTAAGCTGTTGAGTGGTTAGCGTATGAGGTGGCTAGGCTAAGCTAGCTTCAATTTTGATTGAATTATTCTCTAATCGGTTGCCTATTATGTGGTGAATATACCCCTGTAATGCATACTGCAGTCCTTTTTTGTCTGGCTTTCTCGGATATCTCACCTGTTCACTAAAAATGACATTATATCTCTGGCAATGTCTGACATCGGCGCATACATATTGTAAAAGCCATGCCAGGCACGAAAGCTTGACAGGTGTAGCAACAGTAACTAAGGAAGCCGGGACTTAGCGAAGGGTCAATTATCTATAGTATGCTTCCAAACACTATATTACTTACTATAGAGTATTTTGTCATGTAATGTAAAAGCTTGTACAGTATCTACCACTCTGATGACAGGCAAATATATTTCAGTTCAGTAGAAAATTCGCCCCTCTTCATGATATAAAGATCCTGCCAACATATGTGGTTATTTTCTATTTTATATCTCCTTTGAAATATGGTATAAATGACAAAAATACGGATGTTATGTCTCCAATTCAGTTTTTTACTTCCTGCCCTCCATCTGAATATCACACGTCACCAGAACCACGTGATTGAAAACAACCTATTTTAGGTGGATTGTGATTAAGATTATTCTATTTATGCTAAGGTGGTGTAGGTTATGTTCTGCTGAAAACTGATGCATGTGATGTCAAAGTTCAGTCAATAGGTTTATCCAAAAGTGGCAGAATTGCTTGGACGCTTTAAAAATCTCCATATCTGCAAAAGGAAGACACAGAAAAGAGGATGGTGTGATGGGGAAAGGGAAAGGAGGAAGAGAAGGACAGAAAGAAAGAAGCAGATCATCAGTAAACTTTTGCAAATTGCAGGTGACGCAGTTGTTGACAACATATTAAGTTTGCAAAACTCCGGAAGGCACTGGCCTTCAAACACTCCTCTGTCATGAATTAAAGAGAGAGAAAGATGTGACTCACTCTTCCTCTGCGACGGGGGTGTTGTAGCTTTGAAAGAGCGGCTGAACAAATAGTCCGAGTGTGCCGACGACACACACCAGGATAAAAATCCACAGGAAGAGTCGATCGATCACCATGGCCACATACTTCCAGTCCTCAATGATCTGCAGGACGCATACAAGTGGAAAATGCTTTAATTAATACTGTATATATGCAGTCATGAGGGAATCAGATGTGGGCTTAAAGCTTGAGCTTCAGCAAAATTCTGATGGTGTTTTAGCCAGAGATGGCAAAAGTACACACATCCTTCACTTAAGTAGAATTACAGATACTCATGTTTAAAACGACTAAGTACTGACTACACATTTGTACTTAAGTTAAAGTAAAGAAGTACGGCCTCAAAAATGTACAAAAGTAAAAAAGTAAAATTACTCATTTCAACCACAGTCTAAAGACATAGGGGGTATAAGTAAATAATAGGTAACTATATTGCCAGTAGTGTATAAGAGTGTGTGTAAATGTGAATGTGTATGGGTGTTTCCCAGTACTGGGTTGCAGCTGGAAGGGTATCGTATAACTTTCTTTATTGATTCATTTTCTTTTCGGCGTAGTCCCTTTATTTACCTGGGGTCGCCACAGTGGAATGAATCGCCAACTTATCTAGCACACATTTTACACAGCGGATGCCCTACCAGCTGTACCCCATCTCTGGGAAACATCCATACATACCCATTCACACTCATACACTACGGACAATTTAGCCTACTTAAACCGGACCACCCAGTGGTAACCCTTGTGAATGCAGGGAGAACATGCAAACTCCACACAGAAGTGGCAACAGACCCAGTGGAGGCTCAAACAAACCAGCGACCTTCTTGCTGTGAGGTGACAGCACTGCCTACTGCGCAGTGCATGTATATATATATATATATATATAGTAAATAAATCTAAATATGAGTAGTTATATTTATATTTGACTTTTTTATTTACATAATATTTATATAATAAATAATAATGCTGCAAAATGCAAATTGTCATGAATAAACTGAAAAAAAAACCCGACATGGAAAAGGCATGGAGGTAATTTTTTTTTTTTTCTATAAAAAAGAATATTTTTTGTGACATTTTAATCTAATCATTTTTTGCTGTACATCCTGGACCTGTGTTGATGCATAGCTAATAGTTTTTTCCTGGACTTTAGGCCAGCTTTCATTTGGTCAATGGCGCAGTCTATTTCAGTTTCTCAAAATAGCAACACACTAACAATGCGCCTTAACACACCTCCTTTTTAGACTGGGACACCTATGAGTACACAAAGCAGCTCAAAACGAGAAAATCAGGGTTGCGCTAGTCTGGAAATAGCAACAAATCACACCATACACAACGTCTTGCGCCTTATTGCGCCAGGTGTATGATAGGGCCCTTAGACTTTGCGCATAGACCATTAAATTAGCCCTACAATTTCCTGCTATTTGCTATTTCTAGTTAAGTATACAGATAAAAATTACTTGCATCTTTAACTACACCAACAAATCAGTATTCAATTGGTTGAACTAAACCTTATACAGTAGTTAGTTATTAGAAGATGAGTCAATACTTGGAGAACTGGATATACTGGTTGTGCTGTATTCACTTGTCAGAGTAATTTGATCAAAAATCATGCTACACTGGTTAATCTGTTGTTTTTTTATTCAGTCATTAAGAAAAGCTCTTTTAAGTAATTTGCCGGAGAAACTTCACTGGTTGTGCTGTGTGCTTTTTGATTCACTGCAAGGATTTGACTCATAAGAGTCATTTGTTCAAAAACCAAACTATATTTGTTGAAGTGATGAACATTTTTTAATTGACTGAAATGTCTTAGCTCTAAAAAGTTCATTAATTCATTCGTTTTCTTGTCGGCTTAGTCCCTTTATTAATCCAGGGACGCCACAGTGGAATGAACTTATCTAGCAAGTTTTTATGCAGCGGATGCACTTCCAGCTGCAACCCATCTCTGGGAAACATCCACACACATTCACACACACATACACACACTGATACACTACGGACAATTTGGCCCACCCAATTCTCCTGTACCACGTGTCTTTGGACTGTGGGGGAAACCGGAGCAGAGAAACTCCACAGAGAAACACCAACTGAGCCGAGGCTCGAACCAGCGACCCAGCAACCTTCTTGCTGTGAGGCGACAGCACTACCTACTGTGCCACTGCTTCGCCTTCTAAAAAGTTCTCTAGTTTACAAATTATACAACATGTTTTTTCAAGTTATTTTTTAATTCCATAACTGATTCCTTAAAGGATGACACGTTTGCTCAGTGGGTAGTACTGTTGCTTTACAGCAAAAAGGTTGCTAATTTGATTCCAGGCTAAGCCAAGAGGCCTTTATGTTTGGAATTTTCACATTTCCTTGTGTGGGTCTTCTGTGGGTTAGTTTCAGTCTCAGACTTCACACCAAACACAGCCCGTGGACCTTTGACTAAATGTCTGATTCATAAGGCACACTTTTCTGGAAACAGATCCTTAATCATCCAAAGATTGGTTTTATATATACAGGATTTTCAGGATTCAAGTGTTCAGCACTCTTATTCAGCCAAGTCAGAGCGGATAAAAAAAGCTGTGATGTTTGTATTGATACATGCTCATTGATAAATGTATAACTTTCTTAGACATTTATGAACCAGTGATTTACTGCCTGCACACCCGTCTGTTATTGTGGGGATAACTTTGCTACAATGAGCATTTATTTATTAAACTTGAATGCTGAATTATTACAAGGATATGCACTGTTATTACATGTTGGGCTGTTATTCTGAGGGCATGTCCACATCGTCAAACAGGGCACGGCACATAACAAAAAGTTATTGATTGGTTAACCTGACTGTATTATAACATAGTGGGTGGTCCTTGACCAAAAGCGTCCAAAACTCCCAGACCTTCAGCTGTCAGACTGTCTATGCGAGGTCTAGCTATGTGAGACTACCTCCGGGTGCTCTGGTTTCCTCCACAGTCCAAAGACATGCGGTATAGGTGAATTGGATAAACTAAATCTAATCATTTTTGGGGGCTGGGTTGTGGCAGGAAGGGCATCTGTCAGTAAAACATGTGGCAGTGTAATTGGAGGCTCTTTATGCTGTGGCAACCCATATTAAATCAGGGAATAAACCAAAGGAATATGGGTAAAATGACCCAATTGGACTGCGCTGATTTGTGTTCATTATTTTTGAATTCATTATAAAGAAAAAAGCTTCGGTGTGACATTCATTTTAGAATTGGATTACACTAGATGTGCTACATTTTTTATTTATTTTTTACACATTAAGTTGTCTGGTGTCAGGGTTCTGCCACTTTGGTCTTGTAAATTCTTGTTTTGGTGGCAGAGCTCTGACACTACTCATGTCTGGTCCTGTTTCTGTCTCTGTGTGAGCGCGCACCGTCGTGGGTGTACGCAGAGTGTGCGCACTGCCGCTTGATGTGGCCGCGCACGCTCTGCGTCCCTCAGGCGCTCTTGTACTAGTGTTTGTGTTTGTTCTGTCAGCAGCGCACTGCTTTATTCTCGGCGCCTCCGTCTAGTTGGTTTCAGTTTTGGTTGGCGCTGAGATGAAGCATGCGTGTTGCTTATGTGTGAGCGCACTGTAAGGTGTTTATCTATCGTGTGCTCGTGTCTTGCGTCTCTTTTCAAAGCACGTGGCTCGGTGTTTACATTGTGGTCACGTGCTTTTGTCGTGTGCTTCAGTGTTGTGTTTGTTGTCATGAACATGCGGTTAATTAGTTCTCTCATTGGCTGCATGTTCTTGTCCTGTTAAGTGAGCGCATGGCTTGTGTTGTCTCTCTGTGTCATGCGCTCTCCCGTCTATTGTCTTGTCCCACCCTCCTTGTTAACCCATTATTAGTTAATTGTGTTCACCTGTTTGTGTGTTAATTTTCTACAGTTTATATACCCCTAACATTTGCTGTCCTGTGCCAGTTCGTCATCACATGTTGTTGTTTGAAGTCTTGTCCTGTCGTGTTTCCAGTCCTCATCCTTGCCAGCCTGCCCAGTCCTGTTTGTATGTGTATGCATTTGTTTTGTTAATGTTTTCCCCCTCGGGGGAGTTATTTAATAAATTCCCATTTTTCCTGCACTTGAGTCCTCGCTCCTTTTTCCCCATTTCCCCTCACCAACCCTGACAGTCTGGGCTTCTAAACTCCTTTAGTCTGAAAGCTATATCACTTGTGCAGCATTTTATATTTTTAGTTTACTTAAAAATGACTGGCTCATAAGGGTTATTATTTAAAGGTGTAGTATGTGATTGTCTTCAGAAGCAGTTTTTGTTGTGCTGATTGAAAGTCTCTTCACATTCACATAGTGATGATTAAAGTAAATGATCTAAATGTATCTTTATGTATTTTAATATTCTGGGTAAGGCATAAGACAAAAAAATGTTCATCCAATTAAAATAGTGTCGGGCCGACATCTCCCATAATTCTGATAAGTAGCCCAAACTGTCTGTCAGCAAATGCAGATTTGAGCTACTGCGCACCTGTTTGTACGCAGCTCTGCCGTACTTTTTTAAAATCCTGAATCCATATTGGAGTTACTTTTGCATGCTGGAGGACGAACGACACCATGGCTAAAGTATTTCTCTTAGACAGGTAATGATGTGTTTTAAAACTATTTTTGTGACGCAGAGCTGATGTAGATTGTGTTGTTTTGAATGGGTTATATGCACTGAAGTGTTGTTCAGCCACTAAAATCTCCCGGTGAAAGATTGATGTGACTATTTTCAGTTTGATAAGGGCCTTTTACAACATCGATAATGTAGATTTTATTTAGTTTGACAACAAAACATCAGTAAATGCTATTCCGCCTAGTGTGCTTTACTGAGTTAAAATTGGTTTTATAATCACATTGGGTCATTTTTGAACAATGACAACCTGTGACACACTTCCTATATCGTTTACCGCTACTCTGAATATTTGGTCAGAAATAGCATGTAAATGACTTAGAAAATAGTGTAATAATGAGTGTAATTCCTGCACGCCACCGGCCAAGCTTTAGCTCAACACTTAAGAGAGGGTGCTGTCATCTTTATGGTGTGCACGCTCATGTTTTCAGGAGGCGTGGCTTTAGACAGCAGGGGAGGGATGGTGTTTCAGGGATTTATGCTAACAGGCTAGCATTGTGGCAAATCACCTACTGCACATTTAAGTCATTTATATTCTTGTGGTTACTTTTAATATTTTTTGATTCACTATAATGAACCAGCTCCTGTAGCTTTTAGTAGACCTGAAAAACACTAATTGATCAGGAGGTTTTTGATTCACTGTAAAAAAAAATAAAAACATAATAATTTACTTAAGAATTAAATTACACTAGTTATAAGTTGAAAAATCATACTACACTGTAAAAGTGTAAAATGTAAGTTCTGAAACCAAATGTAATTCTATAGACATCACATGTTGTTGTTTTTTTTTTCATTTCACTGAAGGAACATATATCTGATTTGTTCATGAGATTACGTAGTTTGTGATCCACAAGTGTTTTCCATTTTTTTAAGGTTGTAAATTGCATTATGAGACCTTGATTTCTCTCACTCTGTCGACTTTTGTTTTGAAAATTCAACTCTACAGTTGTGACTTTTACAGTCATTTTAGTATTTTGAAAAAATATCATATATAACAAAAAATAGAAATAGAAAAAAGTCTGTATAGGGCAAGATTATTAATCTGGGGTCACCACAGTGGAATGAACCGCCAACTTATCCAGCATATGTTTAATGCAGTGGATGCCCTTCCAGCTGCAACCCATCACTGGGAAACATTCATACACCTTTATTAAAACACATACACTAAAGACAATTTAAGCTTACTCATTTCACCTATATCGCATTTCTTTCGACTTGTGGGGGAAAGCGGAGCACCCAGAGGAAACCCACACTAACACAAGGAGAACATGCAAACTCCACACAGAAATGCCAACAGATCCAGCCGAGGCTTGAAGCGGTGACCTTTTTGCTGTGAGGTAACAGCGCTACCCACCTTGCCACCGTGCCACCCCAGAAATTAATTTGATTACAAAATATTTTAATTGTTTCCCAGTGATGAGTTCCACCTGGAAGGGCATCCGTTGCGTAAAAATGTGCTGGATAAGTTGGCGGTTTATTCCGCTGTGGCGACCCCAGATTAATAAAAGGACTAAGCCGAAAAGAAAATGAATGAATGGATGAATGAATGAATGAATGAATGAAGGCTGAATAAATGAATAAAGTCTGTAAAATAACAGAAAAATGTACTGGCAGTTAATTACAAGGTTTTTGTACCATAAATATTTAAAACACCAACCAAGACAATATACTGTATGATTAAAAAATATTAACAAAACCCACTTCTTTTAACTTTTCAAGGCTAAAGATTGTTGGAAGACGTACCATAATGCAATTCTAAATATAAATGTAATGTAAAGGTAAAAGTAATATAAATAAACAGGAAAAAAATAAATGAATAAAAAACATGAATAACAGATAAATAAAAAAATTGAAAAAATCCATATATATACACTTGAAGTCAGAATTATTAGCCCCCCTAAATTATTAGCCCCCTGTTTATTTTTTTCTTCAATTTCAGTTTAACATAGAGATTTCTTCAGGACATTTCTAAACATAATAGTTGTAATAACTCCTCTCTAATTTATTTTATCTTTGCCATGATGACAGTAAATAATATTTGACTAGATATTTTTCAAGACATTTCCATACAGCTTAAAATGACATTTAAAGGCTTAACTAGGTTAATTAGATTAACTAGACAGGTTAGGGTAATTAGACATATGGATGGTTTGTTCTTTAGACTATTGACAATATATATATATAGCTTAAAGGGGCTAATAATTTTGACCATAATTTTAAAAATTTAAAAGCTGCTTTTATTCTAGCCTAAATAAAACAAATAATAAAAATTATTTGTTTTATTTCTAAACTAATAATTTTGACTTAAAATGTATATAAGCAATATCACACGAGTAGCAGTGCGATATGGCTGTATATCGGCACTGGTAGGAGGCGTGATCGAGTGCCTTGATGTCCCACCACCAGTGACGACATACAGCTATATTGCTACCAGTGTAATATTGCAATTATGCAACAGTTTGATATCATAATTGTGTACATAAAAAAGAATATCATACACGAAGAGTCTAAAAACCCTTTTGTATGAGAGACTACTTTCTTCTACCATTTCTTCAAATCTGCAGCTGACATCAGAACAGCAGAAACCATTGCTACCTCGCTTTAGAGCTAGTATTTAAATGCTTCTCTAGCGTAATATCTAAAGTCATGACATTTTAGGATTATAAGGCTGAACAGCATGAGATGCCATCAGTCTACAGAGATATCCCCCAGTATTTCTTTGTTGCAATCGAGATATCGCAATAATTAACCCCAAAAAAAAGCAAAAGCAGCTCAAACTTTACCAGATTAGTGTTGTGTTTACAATAAGGAAAAACAATAAACACATGCAGGCATTTCTTCTTTCTTTCTTTTTACTGAACTAGTATGCAGTAACGGAAACTGGAGACTCCTTAGAAACAAACAGATGGCCAACCAAAGAGTACTACTAAGAGAACTAGTATAAATATATAGCTTATTCATTAGCTCGAAAATCAGAGAAAGCTGCTTGTATTGCTTGCTTTCTGCTTCCCTCAAAATAGCCGAACCCCAGATTAATTAATTCAAGAACCATACTACATCAGTAATGCTGCATGTTTTTTAAAACGACATGTTTTTTAAAACGCTAACTGGCTGACTCCTTATTCATTCGAGAATTGTATTACACAGGCTGTGTTGTCTGATAAAACTCATCTACTAAAACTTGTCTAATCCATCAAGTCAATCAATAAAAAAAACCCTTCTCACCCCTTCATCGTCGTCTTCGATCTTCATATGTTCCGCAATGAACCTCACGCCTTCAATGGCCTCATCCACGTCTGGATCGTGCCTGACTTTCACCCTCTGCCTGAACTCTGACCCCTCAGGAAGGTCACCGACCCTCCAAGCACCACACACTCGCCCCGGGTCATCACTTAAGAAGTAAGAGTCTCCATCCAATCTCAAGCCCTTGGTATCCGAGGAGAAGGATTTCCGCTGGTGCTTCCGTCTGAATCTCTCCCGTACATTAGACCTTCCCGGTCGGCGCATTAAAAGAAAAAAGGGAAGCTTATGCAGGAACACACGCTTGACCCACTCTGGCATACGATGAGTGGATGGAGAACGATGGTGGACGTTGAGCACACACACACTCGTCACGATAGAAAACGTGACCAGCACCATCGTGAACATCAGATATTTTCCTATTAATGGAACGGCCAGTGATGTTGGAGGAACGATCTTCGAGATCAGGAGCAGAAACACAGTAAGAGCCAGAAGAACCGAAATACACAGCGTCATCTTCTCCCCGCAGTCTGAAGGAAGGTAGAAAACCAGGATGGCAAGAGACGTGATGAGGACGCAAGGAATGATGAGGTTGATAGTGTAAAAGAGAGGCTTGCGTTTGATGACAAAGTCGTACGTGACGTCCAGGTAAGTGGGATCGCTGAGGTCTTCATTTCTTCGGCCAGGGAGAGACACAATATCCCATTCTCCGCTAGGGGTGTAGTCATCACGACTGGCAAAATCAGATGTCAAGTAGAGGTCTAGTTCTGTGCGGTCGTAGGTCCAAGAGCGGAATTTAAGTGTGCAGTTCTGTTGATCAAAAGGGAAGTTGCGGACTTCAATGGCACAGGCGCTCTTGTAGATGGCAGGAGGGAGCCAGAAAATGTCACCAGTGTTGGAGACGACTGCATTGCAGTAAAATGATACTTCATACACACCATCTGCACTGTAAGGGAAGAAAATACACACTCTAATATCCATATAATGTTTATTTGTTCATGACAAAATGAAGTTAGCACTTTAATACAGTTTTTTTGACAAATATTAAATAATGAATGTTATATATTTTTGTTTTAAATTAATTAGCTTAAAATTTGGTTTCTGATGTAATGTTAAATAAACGGTGTTTAATTTCAAAATCAAATATCTTTCTTTAAAAGTTTACTAAAGGCAAAGCAAATTATTAAAATGGTATCTTGGTATTAGTTGAAGTGTATTTTATAATACATTAAAAGTCTTATATTAAATTGAATATAATGCATGAAAATGAACCTGTAATAGTAAAATAAAACTGTGTCAAAATTATTATGCTAAGAAGGGATGTGCGATTTGGAGAAAATATCTAATTGCGATTTAATTTTGTAGTCAAGCTTCAGCTCAATAATCTGTATCGTAGCTTCTGTATCGAGTATTAGTTAAAAAAGGACCTGAAAAGATATTAACTTACCTAAACATTTATTAAATTTTATTTTTAAATATTCAGAAATGAAATACTAATCTTTCTCTATAGCAAATAGTTTACCCTACCTTTCTGGAAACAATTTGAACTCAAATTGGGGAGATAGTGTAGCTTATGACACAAACATAAAATAATAATAATTATAAAAATACAGAACACTCAGCACACTGATATGGCCGAAACAGCTCTGAAATTGTACTTTGCCGTTGTTTGCTACAAGATTGAGTATCACTGGGAATAATTTCAGCTTACTTTTTAGCAAGACACTCATCACTCAATTGTGCTCACTCAATTGCTAGTAAGACTATCACACACAGACGGCAAATAAATAATACAAATATATTTCATATCGCAGCCTAATGCATGCAATTAGCTAATCACAATGTTTCAAATTGCGATTGCAATACAATTTCAATTTAACTTACAGCCCGCAAAATAAAGAACTTTCACTACAAAATATAAAGCAATTTTAACTTGATCGCCCTAAGCATTTTGTATAAGATAGTTATTTTCTCTTCTATGCAGCCTGTTTATACAATATTTTGATTTAAGTTATATTTCTTGGGAAATACATATTTGAAAAAGAAAGGTTTTATTTATAAATGATATGATTTTTTAAAACAGTTAATGTTATTGTGTTTAAAACATGAGTTTTCAGCATAAATGTAGCATTTATATAATTATTTATTATTAAATTACAAAAAAATGTAAAATCTTTTTTGTAAAATTCTTTCTCAAAAAAAACAACAACAAAAAAAAAACAATTGGAGCTATATATAGATTTACTGATTTAAAAAAAAAATTTCATAACTGGTTTCTGAAAAATAATCTCCAAAATAATTTATAAAAAATGTTATATTCATTTATTCATTCATTCATTCATTCATTTTCTTTTCGGTTTAGTCCCTTTATTAATCAGGGGTTGCCACAGAGGAATGAACCACCAACTTTTCCAGCATGCAGCGGATACCCTTCCAGCTGGAACCCATCACTGAGAAAAAAAATGTAAATATTTTGTAATCAAATTAATTCCTGTGGTGGCACGGTGGCGCAGTGGGTAATGGCACTGTTACCTTACAGCAAAAAGGTCACCAGTTCAAGCCTCGGCTGGATCTGTTGGCATTTCTGTGTGGAGTTTGCATGTTCTCCTCATGTTATTGTGGGTTTCCTCCGGGTGCTCCGGTTTCCCCCACAACTCCAAAGACATGCGCTATAGGTGAAATGAGTAAGCTTAAATTGTCCGTAGTGTATGTGTGTGAATAAGGGTGTATGAATGTTTCCCGGTGATGGGTTGCAGCTGGAAGGGCATCCAATGCGTACAACATATGCTGGATAAGTTGTTGGTTCATTCCACTGTGGCAACCCCAGATTAATAATCTAACTAAGCCAAAAAGAAAATAAATGAATGAAGGAATGAATGACATTAATTCCTTAAAAATTACCTAAAGCTAAAGTGAATTAATAAAATGTAATTTGGAAAATATTTATGTGATATTTTTTTGTATGATAATATTATTGTCGAATATTTATGTGGTATTTTAGCTGCCAATATACCAGAAAAACCGGTGTCAAAAATAAAATACTTGACATTTTAAATTGACAAAATATTTTTTTTTAAATTACAAAGTATTTTGTAAGCTTGCTCTTATATTAGTTTCTCTCAAAAAACTCAGTCTGAAAAACCTTGCGTATGAGATGTGAAAACGCCTCCTCATCACACACACATTTCCTGATTAACATGCATTAATTAACAGATCTTTAATCCAGAATCTCTTTCTCTCTATGCCCTTGAATAAATGACTAGTGTACAGCTTCTTAATTAAAATTAGCATAGAAATACAATGCTTATTTTAGCAAAGGATTACATGCACCAGTGTCTCTTTACACGAGGAAATGCCTCTTAAACAAATTAAGTCTCATTTCACCCAGTGCATCCGTTCAAGACAAAAACAAGTGCAAGTGCATCCTCCCTTTTTATTAACTCTAATGTAGATTATCTAACACACATGACTTCCATTAGGAGCACACATCTGAGCTAGATCCCACCCAAACGTTTTTGTTTTTTTTTTGTCATCAAACTTTTATTTATTTTTTTCATTCTTCTGAGCTTTGTCAACAGCGCAGACATGAACGACCTGAAAGAAGAGCAACAAGGGAGGCGAAGGCTCTTGCTTTGGGCAATTCTCTAGCATAATTAGCCAGTCTGTTGGAACAGTGACAGCTTGCTTGTTGTGTTGAGTTTGTCACTAAACACTGACTGTGCTACAAAGCTTTAAAACATCCCAAAAGTTTACAGGGCTTATGGCCTGATTAAGAACGGAGAGTGCAATAAGATAATAAAAAATAAGTGAGCTACTAATGTTTCTTACAGTTAAAATCAGAATTATTAGCCCCCCTTTTTGAATTTCTTTTTCTTTTTCAAATATTACCCAAATGATGTTTAAGAGACCAAGGGAATTTTCACAATATGTCTGATAATGTTTTTTCTTCTGGAGAAGGCCTAATTGTTTTATTTTGGCTAGAACAAAAGCAATTTTTCATTTTTTAAAAACCCTTTTAAGGTCAAAATTATTAGCCCCTTAAAGCTATATTTCCTTTCGACTGTCAGCAGAACAAACCATCGCTATACAATAACTTGCCTAATTACCCTAACCTGCCTAGTTAACCTAATTAACCTAGTTAAGCCTTTAAATATCACTTTGAGCTGTATAGAAGTGTCTTTAAAAATGTCTAATAAAATATTAATTACTGTCATCATGGCAAAGATAAAATAAATCAGTTATTAGAAATGAGTTATTAAAACTATTATGTTCAGAAATAAGTCAAAAACAATCTTCTCTTTGTTAAACAGAAATTGGGGAAAAATAAAATAGAAATAGGGGGCTAATAATTCAGGGGGTTTAATACAACTATACATGCTAGTCCATTTAGTCTTTTTTGATAATTTAAGGAATTAATTAGTGTTGTAAAATAGTGTTGTAAATAATAAGGATACGCAAAATAAATACATTTAAATATAAATTGAAGCCAGTGAATATGTTGTCTTGTGTGGAAAGATGGCCAATGCAGTAGATCATACATAATTCAGTGACGTGTATAAAAAGAACAACCTATTATATGCTGTATTAAGAGGAGCAAGATCTAATTTCGATGCAGTCTGACACAATATCACAATAATTAAAAATTGGAAATATAGGAGCAAGTTTCTTGTGAACACTAAATGAAAAACAATGTCTAGATTGATGTAAGGTACTAATTCCAAGGTTTACTTTCCTCACAATATGATTAATTTGTGATTTAAAGGAAAGTTCAGAATCCAAGCCATACTCCAAGGTATTTAATCTTATCAACTTTACGCAAAGAAGTATCATCAATACATAATATTGAATAAGAGTAACTTTTTGATTTAAGTTTTTGTCTGGAACCAAAAATCATAATGTAAGATTCTGTTTTATTAAGCAATTATCTAAAAGCCAATTTTAGAACAGATTAAAATCATTCTAAAGGGACAACTGATTTTGTAAGATATCAGAATGTGACACGTATATGGGGCTATTTCACTTATTGAAAATGAATGGTAAATTATTACAGTCGCTTTGGTGCATTTCTCACTACACTATTTACATTTGCACAACAGTTATTGCATTTCTCAAAACAATTAGTGCAAACCGCAAAACCTAGCTGATAACCTGCAAAAGCGCGTCACATGCTCAAAATGGATAGTTCATTCCTCAAAAGCAAGTATTCATGTCGATCAAACTGTCAGTATCGTCAAAATGAAAAGTCCTGACATCATTGTTTATGAACAAGATAGTCAAATGGCTTAGTCATGTTTTCATTATGACAGTTTACTCTGTACATTTTTTCAATGCAAAAAAAATCAGATTTTGGTGACACTTCCTGAAAATGCTCAAGACAGCACTATAGACTATTTGCACAGCCATTTGAAAACTACAGTAAAGTGAGACATCACTGCATTGAGGGAGTTATCTGAGTACAAGACACTAAATATGTATGTTTCACATTTTTACTGCATTTGCTCTTTGCAATCCTAATTTACTCACAGCAGTGTGCAAAAGAATAAACACACCCTTATTTACAACAAACATAAACTCCCTTTAGGTAGAGCTGGGCACAACTGTACACAATATTGCAGTACATATTGGAACTGAGCCTACAACATACACAGGTCTGTATATCATTCATCAAATTGTTCAATTTTAAGGACATTTTCAGGAAAATAAAGATTTAAATTTGTTTTATAAAAATTAGTTTGACAGATTTCGACAACTAGTTCACCATTTTTGTATGTAATGACTCAAGTAATGAAATGAGGACTATTAGTTTTATATGGAATGACTATTCAGCATTTACAAGATAAGTTCATTTTGACTGACATGACAGAAGCAAATAATAATGTTATAAATAGCAGAGAGTTGTATGAAAGCAATTAATGCTTGTCCAAAAGCATTCACAATTTGTTGAAAAGAATGAGAAACTGCTACTAGGATGTGCACAAATTACTAATTGTTTTGAGAAATGCATTAACTGTTGTGCAAATGTAAATAGTGTAGTGAGAAATGCACCAAAGCGACTGAGAAAAACTGAAACATACATTTTAAAAAATCAAGTGGTCCTAGTATTGAACCCTGAGGAACACCTCTTTATTGAACCAAGAAATCTGAGATAAACCCATTTAATACTACAAATTGTTTTCACATCGCATTCAGACAGACCAATAGCACGAGGCTTATCTAAAAGTAAATGTTGATCAACTAAATCAAAAGCTTTGGATAAATAAAAAAAAAAAACACACATGTGAGTTTACCATCATCAGCTGTTTATGGCTGTTTCACTTTACTTCAGGACGCATTAATGCCGCTCTGTAGGTCTATTGGAGACATTCATAAATTTTCCTTGCAAAGTTTATAAATGTTGACATACTATATGTTATATGTTATAAATGTTACATAAACACACTAAATCCCACTTTAGCAGGGTTTATTTGAGAGGGCACAAGAAAATCTGCACTTGAGCAGTGTATATTTGAGGGGTGTGCAAGAAGTTTAGTGCACAAACAGAGGAAATCTGCGCAAAAGAGATTTGTGTAACATAAATGCGATCTCGACTTGTAATACTGCGCTCACATTTGTCATTGAATATAACGCCACAGGTAGTTGGTAGATCTGTGTAAAGAGCCCAACAAAGTTTGCCGCTACAGCTGGAAAAAATCCTAAAGGAAACACTGTTACTATATTACTGTATTAATATTACACAATGAGGTATATGCAGAAACATGCGGAAGGACTTTGAATTTTGCAGTAACCGGTGCCTGAACCGATACTTTTTAGGCACAAAATTAATTGACAAAAATAATAATAATAATATATATATATATATATATATATATATATATATATATATGAGCAATATCACACGAGTAGCAGTGCGATATGGCTGTATATTGGCATTGGTGGGAGGCGTGCGTTGGCACAAAGCCGCAGGCCGAGTGCCTTAGTGCCCCCACCAGTGCCGATATACAGCCATATCGCACTGCTACTCGTGTGATATTGCGTTTATACAACAGTTTGACAGCATAATTGTGTATATATAAAACAAAATCAAACATGGAGAGTCTCAAAAAACCCTTTTGTATGAGAAACTACTTTTTTCCGGATTGAAATCATAAGCTGACAGTTAAACAGTTGAGCGTGCATCTTTTAAACTTTAGATCTGTAGTGTCTGCTTTTTGCTGGCTGTATGTGGGCGGAGTAATACACAAAGGGTAAAGAGGCAGTAGGAGTTCTGATATCAGCCAATCAGATTTGAGAATATATATATATATATATGTATTTTTTTATAAAAATATATATTAAAAAATATATATATATATATATATATATTTTTATAGTTTTACACTTGAACAATTAAATGAACACTGAAGTTTATTGAACTGATTACATTTTAATTATATTAAAACACCAATGCTGTAAAATGAACCATATAAAATGTTAAAAAAGTTACACTAACTTCAATAGAAGTTTATCAGTATGGGAAGAAACACTGTGCATATACCTCATTTTACTACCGTTTAATAATAGTTATATTGTATTTTGATCAAATATGCGGAATGCAGCCTCAAGAGATTTTTTTTTTCATTTTCTTTTAAATCACAAAGGAAATGTATTTTTGACAAACACGATGACATACTTGTTATAGAGTACTATATCAGGAAGCCAGATGTGCCGTGATGGTATTCTCAGTTTTTTGATGCCCTCATACTCATTTGGATCCCACACCAGTCTGTAGTCATTCCACTCCTAAAGAAAAAGAAGAATGTGGTTTAAACTGGTCAAAATGGGTGATAACATGTTTCAGCTCTGGAAAGAAATGAAGAGATTTCTTCAAAGATATTATTGGTTATCTGCATTTGCAATTAATATGTGTGTATTAGGTAAAATGTTTATTTGCCTACTGATAACATGTCTTCAATATTTAAAATAAAAAGTATATTGTGTAGAGCATTTGACAGCATTAGAAATTACTGCATCTTTTTGGACCTTAAATGTTTTTTTATTAATATTCATAAATAACATCATGTATTTAAAATTTGAACACATATTTTATAGTTCTTTTGTCACTTTCTGCCAAAATGATAATATTCCTACTTGAAATTTTTAAGACACATTATCACTACATTATAAATATTTTTCCAGGCCTGTATTTGTACAAAATCATTAAACATGATTTCCATGGGAAAAAAAGTTCAAAGTGAACAGTGGGTTAATCAAAACTGAAATCTGCCCTGTGCTGTATGTGCACTCATGTGTGGGACAGTTCATTTCACTGTGTTTTATAACAGTATCCAGATGAGTGCACAGGTACAGCAGGTGAGTTTACCTGAGTCAGCCAGACATTTGTTGTCATGATTTGCTCTCTCTCATTCTGTAAAAAAGCATAGAACATTGGGTGTGTTTATAAACAAACAATTTATAAACCACCAACAGTAAATTAGGGATAATGCAAATAAAAAAACAACGCATCAAAGGCAATGTTGCTTCACATGTCCAAGACTTTGATAAAAGAAAAAAAATCCAGTCCACAATTCATTTTTACAATGAAAATACATAATTTTTATAATTATAATAATTTTTTCACCAAATAAGTGACAACATTTGTGAATTTGGCAATTAAAGCGTTAAGATCCAAGCAATTTAGGAGTTTTAATCAGGACTGGGGTTTAACAGATTTATGCAAAAAAATTAAGAAAATGAATGCTGCATTTTCACAGCAGTTCAATTTAATAGATGTTTTTATCTCTAACATAACAAAAGGGTAGTAAACTTGAACAGTGCACAAGGGTTAAACCTATTTTTAAATTTGCCAACCCATAAATATGAACTAGATAAAGACTATATATGACCTTTCTGTAAAAAGAAAATAAAAACAAAATAAAAACAAAATACAGTTAATATCAATTTTAAATAATACAATTATAATATTAATTATAATTTTTTTTATTCAAAGCATTTTCTCAAAATATGTGTCAAAATAAGATGGCACCAAAAATAATTCTGCCTGCTGAAACACAGAAAAGATAATGACCAAATTAAGACTCAAAATCACCCCAGAGTGGATGAAAACATCTCCAACAGTACATAAGAGTTAAGTCATTTTGATTGTGAACATTTTATAAATAAACATCAAATCTACACAATGATCAATAAAGAAGGTGCATCAGTGGTTGTTTGTTTTTTTGTTTTTTTTTTGTTTGTCTGTTTGTTTGTTTGTTTGTTTGTTTGTTTCATTTTATAATCATGGTTCTCCAAACTGAATTGTCACATATTCTTCACTGCACAACAGGCATTCTTATTTTATCTTGTTTCTCATCCAAATATTAACAAAAAATCTTAAATTAAGAGTCATTTTCTAGATAAAAAAAAATATTGTTTTGTTTTTATAAATGATAAGTCAAAAGGAAGTCGGTTTTTTTTCTTAAAACAAGCAAAACAATCTCTCAGTGGGTTAGGTAAAATAATGTTATTTTTGGTTATTCTATTATTAGTTATCCCTTTAACAGATTTTTTGCTTTTTTTAGGAAAACTCACTTTATTTTGACTTATTATTTCTGAAATCTAAACAATAGTTTTTTTCTTGTTTAGAAAATCCTTCTAGTAAGACAAACAGTGAGCAAGAAAGCCAATTTCAGCAAAGATGTCATTTTTGCAGTCTAATTTTGTAATGATTAATGAATACGAATTTGTCTATTCAAGTTCCATTTCAGGACTAAATAATGTGATTTTGAATGTGTTTTCTGCATCACAGAAAATCAATGGGCCCTAAGCATGAAGGGTTCAAGACATGACACAATCCATACTCAAACCTGCATCATTCAGCCGTGTGAGCATAAACACTGTGTCCTAACCAGACATGACATGAAACTGAAAATCTTACTGAAAGTGAAAGTCAGTCAGAATGTATTTGCTGCTTAATGTAGTTTTGTGAAGCAAAGATTTGAACAAATGAGATTTTGCAGTGGGTGGAAACCCAGTCCAACGTGACAAAAATAGAAACAAATTGTTTTGTCGCTTGTCACTTTGCGGCATTGTGCTTGGTTAGAATACAGTGTCAATGTGAATCTACCTGTCAATGTGAATGTACCTCAAGTCTGTAATGTGTCATGGGCATGTTATGGCTGTGCCACGGCTGAAATTGTGTGCTTGTGACATTACATGCACAGTTTCATATATATATATATATATATATATATATATATATATATATATATATATATATATATATATATATATATATATATATATATATATATATATATATATACACACACACACACACACAGACACACACACATATTACTTTTTTACAAAGGTACAAATGTGGCATGCTAGTACAGTACATATTTTCACCTTGGAATATAAGGTTCTCTCTGCGTTCGGAATGGTTTTGAGATATTGAGCTTTAAAGTTTTTGCATGGCATACAGTATGTAAAAACTTCCCGTATTGTAAATAAGTTGTCATTTAATAAGAATATGTCAATAACTCAATTTTGAAAAAAAATGTCAGATAGAACCTTATAATTCTAAGGTGATGATTTGTATTAATAAATTTTAAAAGGATACCGCACCAACGACCAACTTTTGTACATTTTTATTGTCCTGAAAAAAACAAATTTTAGGCTATGTACAATGCCTTAAAGAATCATGAAACACCAAAATGCATTTTTTGAGATGCTGACAGTCATATATGTGTCCCACATTGCTAAAAACACTATTAGGACACATATATTTAGCAAACAAAATGAAAATTGGTTGTTTTTGTGTTGTTTAGAGCAAATTTGTTCTTTTGGTTTGAAAAGAAATTTAAAAGCTACATCACGGCGATGAGATCCTTGTGTAAATTCCAGCGTGGAGATGCATGTATCTGTACTGGCGGGTACAATGTTACATCTATGAGTTTTCATCATTAATACGAGAGAAAAACTTGGTTCGAAAAAATCAGTGTTCTCTATTGTGAATAAGGTGCAACTACATTAATATGCATACAGCGTCGAAGACTGTTTTTACCTGTCTCAGATGGCAGAGAGACGCCACGTTGTGTTGCCAACCATAATTAAAACAAGACGCAGTTCCAGTTCGTGTTGATTGTTCTGTCTCTACGGATTTGGTAAGCATGTGATCAATGTTCTTTGTTTATGTTTATTCAGATGGCAAAGTTAGTTAGTATCATCAGCAGTACTCTTCAGTTTTCAAAAACATACCTTAGTCAAAATTATTTAGTTATTAAGTTTACAGTATGTTAATATCACTACATTTTTATGGACTAAAATATGTAAACACCTTAATCAAACTATAACCCTCGTGTAAAATTTTCGCCACATTTTGTGAGAGGATCAGGAGTTTATACACACACAACTGTCTGACACTATTCTCTGCACCTACCGAGTGCATCTAAGTTACTGAGAAATGCAGAGGTTTTTTTTTCTCTCATATGGCATGCAGTATCAAAAATTCCATTAAAAATACACTTTTCTAGCAGTTCCTCGCATCCAATATCTTGTTTCTCATGGGGTGCATGCATGAAATGTTTCTGAATGAAAGTGGCAAACTTCAGTTCAAGTCCATGTAAACGTAGTCACTGCTCTATCTCCCCTGGATCTGTATTTGTTTTGCCTCTGTGAAAATCAGCACATGCTGAAACTCCCCTTTTTATGCAAACTCTTCCCTCTTTCGCCACACCCACCTAAGCTGGACTCACCCACTTTCTTTTTTTTCAAACTACAGGTGTTATTCGTGTGAAAGCAACCTTCTGTGACGGGTGGGGGGTGGACATGGCCCTTTAAATACTATCTATACTGTTATATATGTGTATATATATATATATATATATATATATATACTGTCATTCAATTGGTTGGAAAAGAAAATAGCTTTTATTTTATTTTATTTTAGAGAAATTAAGAGTGTTGTTTGACTAATGTTGGAATAAACCTCTGCAGAAGGAACATTATAAAGTGTGTGTGTGTGTGTGTGTGTGTGTGTGTGTGTGTGTGTGTGTGTGTTTGTGTGTGTGTGTGTGTGTATGCGTGCGTGCGGGCGTGCGTGTGTGTGTGTGTGGGAGAGAGAGAGAGAGAGAGAGAGTGAGAGAAACAAAGAAAGAAACAGAGACTTACCACACTAATGAGTTGTGCGAGAGAGACTTTGATGCCAATTGTGACCTGTTGACTCTTATTGACTGCAGGCCGGATAAGCTTATTATAACGCTCAGGACCAAGCAGAAAATCTACTAGCCTTTCCTCAGCATCAGCAGCAAGAGACCCTAACACACACACATACATACACACACAGATACACACAGACACACACATACACAAACAGTCCCGCATGGAGATTAAAAAGGATGATCAATAAATGACAAATAGCTCATATCATGACAAATCAAACTTTTCTTGATCATAGATAACTTGAAACCAAAAACCTCATTCTCAAATCCTTGGGATTCTAATATTCTAATAATCTAATTATTTTTCATATATCTTACTTTAATTATATACTGCTACTCAGCTAACATGAAAATGACTGTCATATTTCCTAGTCCCTTTGAAAGGCCCAATCTCAAGAGGCTCTGATTAGTCAGCTAACATAATGTGCTGTGATTCGATGATTGGCTCCATGTCACCAGGAAAAGCGTCATAGCCTTACAAGCAAGTGCTTTTGCGCTGTGTAAACAAACACTGTCAGTCAGAGTAGCTGTTAGCCGTATCAGTTTGAGACTGAATCAGACAGAGAATAAAGAGGACACAGCTAAACCTCACGAATGCTCTCTAAAATAAAGCCTGACAAGCAGGGGTGTAACAGATCATGGTTGATCTGTGATTCGTAAGGATCACTACACACTGTTCAGAACACCCCAAACTTTCATTCTCTTGCGTCATTCAAATCACATGTATTAAAGCATTTAAGCTTTTCTGTAAAAAATAATGGTAAAGGAAAAAGTTGTGGTAGTTTATTCAGGATGTGTGAGGTGTTTTCTGTCAATACTTGTTTAGCATCAATGTATCCCTGCATTCAGTGTAAGCTGCACGATTAGTCATTAAAAAATCGGGATCTCAACACCTATGCAACATAAATTATAAATGATGGCAATTTGCATAAGTTTATTAATCCTTCGAAACTCTGCACTCAAATCTGAAATCTAAAAATCAAAAAAGATTCAGTCTTTAGTCTTTTGAGTGAGTTGCGAAGTTACAAATAGTCAAATAACACAGAAGTACTGGGATAAGAGTTTATAGTTTAGATAAAACCACTGACATTATTCAAATCACCATCATATGCTCAAAAATGAAAGTTGTAGGCAGCAATTACATTATTTAATTATAAGGTGGCAACAACCAGCCATCAAAAGTATGCCATTGAATAATTCTTCAAAATTAGCATCTAGCAATGAAACAAAGTTTTATGAGTGAATAACTGAATCATTTATTGAAAATGAGACAAAACAATATGGGTTGTTCAAATTATGTTAGATTTATACATTTATTGTTATCAGCTACAGTAGCAGTAACAGTGAATTTTTCACAGAACTGAATATTTTACTATTTAATTTTATTCAGCTGATTATTTTTTTTATTTTATTTTTTATAAAATTACAGGTTCTAGGTTCTGTTTGTTAAAAGCAAATGTTTCCTGCAGCACTGTTTTTGTAATAAATGGCAAGCAAATTACATTTGTCTCCTCCCCTTTTTGGCTGATCAAAAAAAAATGGTTCGATCCGTACCATAATGTGATTCGAACCGTGAGATCTGTGATCCCTTACACCACTACTGACAAGTGTCTTTCACATATATTCAGAATAAGCATGTGTAAATAATATGAAACGTTCACACATCTTTTGCGAGTTCGTTAGTTGAGATTTAGAATGCAGGGAAATCAGCTGCATAGAAACACTACAGCGCTGGTGAAGATGGATAAATATGAATGTGTAGCTAAATTGTTAGCTGTGCCAAACAGCATTTCCCATTGTTTACATCCTTGTTTTTGCTTACGTCCTTGCTACAACATACTCTTAACACTAGACACTATGCATGTGATAGATCAATTTTAACAAATAAAAATACATTCAGGTTGTTGCTCACAATCCACACCTTCTTCTATTTTAGTTGGAGCTTCTCCTCTGAGGAGTTTTTAGCCAAATCCAGCACTGAACTGAGAGAAATTCTGGAAGCTGTCCTTTGTCAAATCCTAGCTATATATATATTTTTATAATTCTTTTAAACATAATTAAATTAAAATGTAAGCATTTCTCTCTTTGTGTCGTGTCATTTGGAAGCCCAAATACAGAAACAAAATAAGCTCTTTGCTAATAGCAGCATTTGGATGACATTTCAGCTTTCTCTGCTATAACATTATAGCACCTCTGGCCACGCCAGAGAATGGTGAATGTGCATAACCAGAAGCATTTGTGATCTCACTAGCCCGGATGTACTTTTTTGTAGAACTTTGTTCACTGTAGGCTAACTCTGTAAAAGCCATGCAGTGAACTTATTACATTTAGAGATGTAGTTTATGTTCACACAGCTACATTACACATCAGCTAAAGTTTAAAATTTGATATGGTAGTGGATCACCCCTTTAAAATATCTGAGCAAAACATTTGACACTGGATTATTGTTCATTCATTCATTTTCTTGTCGGCTTAGTCCCTTTATTAATCTGGGGTCGCCACAGCGGAAGGAACCGCCAATTTATCCAGCAAGTTTTTATGCAGCGGATGCCCTTCCAGCATCCAAACACACATTCACACACACACACTCATGCACTACGGACAATTTAGCCAACCCATTTCACCTGTACCGCATGTCATGGGGGAAACCGGAGCACCCGGAGGAAACCCAAGCGAACGCAGGGAGAACATGCAAACTCCACACAGAAACGCCAATTGAGCCGAGGCTTGAACTAGCGACCTTCTTGCTGTGAGGCGACAGCACTACCTACTGCGGCACTTCTTCGCCCCCTGGATTATTGTATTTTATAGATTACTAAAAATAAAATAGGACATTTTGCCAAATAAAATTATAAAAAGCAAATAAAAAGCAAATGCATAAGTGAACCAGAGTAGGAACATTATATATGATATCAGCATATGATTTGCCAAAAACATTTAAAAATGCCATTAGTGTCATTAAATATCAAATAATCATATTAAAGTATAACAAAGCAGTGCTAGTCCTACAGTTTTTTTATATAGTTCCTCAGTTTCTGAGAATATCATGAAAAGGCCAGAAGTGTCTGCTAAGCTGCATGTAATCTGCTCTTACTGCGAAGCAAAAAACAAACATGTCAGAATAATTTTTCTCTGCTTCTTATCCCTTCATAACTCATAAGTCCACCAATGTTGTGGAGGGAGTGTGCCAATGACATGGCAAAACAATGACTTGCCAAGACATTTGCAGACACACACACTAGTACACACTCGTACGCACCCACACTCACACGCCATTTCCTCCCCACTGCATGCAGGATAAGATCTCCAGTGACTGTGCTCCTATTCTCAAAACAGAACACTGGCGCGCACACACACCTAGTTTCCGTCATGAATCCAAGATAGTGTCAGACTCAATTGGTATGATCTGTTCCACACGGGCAGACACACACACACACACACACACACACCTTTGAGCCTTTGTGACTATGCTGAGCCTTAGTCATTTTAGATGGCTTGTCCCCTTAAGCAAAGCAAGGACCAGATCCACTTCATATCAGTTTATGTGTTTGTTTGTGTTTAAGTCAGTCAGCAAGGATGTTATACCCATGCATAAACCAGGGATGATGATCGAGTATACGTGAGCTTGACCTATTACCTCTAATCTCAGACCCATCTGTGTGTAAGCAGGATTTCCAGCTTAATGCTTCATCAGACTAAAAAAAAAAAAAACATCTGCAGAAGCATCACACTCAAAACATAATATCAATTTCACTGATTCAATCTGTCTTTCAGTGTCTATATAAGCTGCAGTGGATTCAAATTTAATAATACACAGTTCCCAAAATCCATTATAAAACTACAGCACAAGCATAATTGTAAATAAATGTATTATTTCATGATTATTATGTTTTGATATTGGGGCCGGCACAGTGGCTTAGTGGTTAGCACTGTTGTACCACAGCAAGAAAGTGAATGAGTGTGCATATGTGTTTCCCAATACTGGGTTGTGGCTGGAAGGGCATCTGCTGTGTAAAGCATATGCTGGAGAAGTTAGTGGTTCATTCCGCTGTGGCAACCTCTGAAATAGAGACTAAGTCGAAGGAAAATTAATGTAGGGGTGTCACGATTCTCCAAATTCTCGATTCGATTACATTTTCGATTCTTAAGTCACGATTCGATTCGATTTTCGATTATGAATAATTAATTAATTAATAACAAATAATATTTGTAGTCTACCGTTTAAACTACCTGACCTGTATGGTCTTTGTTTTACCCATAAACAAATCATACAGTAAATGAATAAAGGCAAGTTACACACATAATTACCACCTGTCAATCACTTTTTTCTTGTGAATATACAGTGATCAACTTTAGAGCACTTGTGTATAGAATATTTTATAAGTGAAAATGTGCACTTTAATTTTAACAACCCACAGACATCGTCACCGAATATAAAGCCGAGGTCAGACTTTCTCATATATACAAAGCCTCATTTCAATTTTCAGGTTTTGTAAAAATCGATCTATTGAATTAATCAATCTATTAAAGAAACGTTGGCTAGAATTCTGCATTATAGGCTTAAATTAGAGAGACATAGCAGATGAACCGAAACTGCATCAGATCAATGTAAATCTTTCTTTCGAGCTGTCAGTGCGGAAATGAACAAAACAACAGGCCTAATAACATATTATACGATTAAAATATGGAAAAATTAACAGATAGTAATTTCGGTCAATTTTCCTGACAGATAAACCGAGATCAGGCTGGATAAACAGCTCTCGGTAATATTTCAGCATGCTTTCACTTTCGCATTTACCGGTAAGAATGACATCTGGCCCTGCTCATCATTTTCTCTTCATATAGCCGTATATATATGGCTATTACACGATCATAATACACTGTGATATAGCCTGGGTCGTTAGTTCGTTGCATTGTTTTGTTTTCTCACTACAATCGATCCGCTCAATAGGGCAGAGACCGTCTCATTCAGGCGATCTCGGACTGATTGATTTGTCGCGGATGCGAGTGCAACTGCTGGATATAAGCCAAACAAACTAACGGGGGAAACGAGACAGATTCCGAAACAAACGTCTATGTGTGAAAGCACCGTAAGA